TCAATTCTCCTTCTATCCTCCCTAGTCATTGTCCAACTCTCGGATGCATAACAAGTGATTGCAAAAACCATGGCCTGCATCCGGCAGACCTTAGTCTCCAGAGAGACACTGTTGCTCTTCAGTATTTTGGAGAGGTCCCTAACCGCAGACTTTCTCATCATGTATTGTTAGTAGTATTACATATAAATCTTTACTTCAAATAGTTTTCTTGATAAATTCATGTTTTCTGGACAGATTATCAGATCCAGTTAGAACCATGTTCTCCCTCCTCCCCCTTGTATTTTGGTTGATGGGCTCACTACGACTAGAGGTGTCAACACTGTTGTTGTTTGCTTATATTTGTGTTAATAGTCTTATCTTTAATCCATGGTTTCTAAGAATCTTCTTAAGCTTCTTGGCTATTTTGTGAGGATTTTAGTTTGGTTAAGCTAGATACTATAATCTGTAAATCCATTTAACTGAGCTCACATAAAGGACAATATTTTACCATAAGCAGAGAGTGGTGAAAGACACATCACTGTCAACCTCTGTGCTTTGTTGTGCTTTTGTTCTTGTTTAAGGCCACTTTACACTGTACAGTATCCAAGGAGGTGTCATGGTGCCAATGTCAGTTCACAAACTAAATAGTAGTAAAGCATAATTTCTGTCACTTTTAAAATACAAAATCACTATACATTGAATATGTGTTTTTAAAAAAATACGTTCTTTTAATACCTCACCTTATTCACTAGTGTATACATGTCTCATCTTTGAAGACTAACACTTTACAAGAACGAGTGATTGATTCTACCTATTCTTTAGCTCATTCCTTCAATCATGTGATCTCTCTTTCAGCTAAGTCATTGAGTGCTGGGAAGTTAGGAGTACAGTAAATTATCCATTCAATCAAGACAAGGGTGAGAGTGGCCATTGGACTAACAGGGAGTAGAATTGACATTCTTCTATGACAATGGAACCATAAGGATACTTGACTTCTTGGTGATGAGTAGCTGTTTATAGAGTCAAGAGTAATTTGGGCACCACAGTGACGTAGTATGTCATACAGGATGACTGGAACAGTTTTAGTTAGGAAAAGTTCTTGAATATGTTTCTTCACCATACAACATTTTCAAATTATAAACTTTGAATTTAGAATTTTGATTTTAGAGTTATATCTCTTTATATTAATGATTACACAGGACTATGAACTTGAATTTATCATATTGGACTTACGTAATCTACATGTAGGAAGACTATTTAGTGGGAGAGCATGGAGACAACTTATCCTTGTAATACCCAGGTATTTGGGGTCAAATTAAATAGTAGGGAGCAAACATGTCTTTCTCTTCTTTTATTGTATAGCGCTAGGCTATGTTTCAAAAAATCATTTCTACCAACTCTTGACTCTTGAGTAAATAAGCAGCCTGGTGCACATAAATGAATGGCTTATCTGACTAGTAGTCTGTGTTGCAGCTTAACTGATAATGGATTCCTTCTCTTTGTTTCCACATTCTTTCTGGGGAGAAAAATTGGGGAAGAGGGATGGAAGAAAGATTTTTCGTTGTATACTCTTGTATCTCTTAAGTATGTCAGATGAAACCTCAGAATCCTTGCCTCCAAGGAGTAGCCTGACTTCACCTTCTCTAGGATGAACTTGTTTGTTACAACTCCTAGCAGTCAGTGGTATATTCAACACTCTTCTCCAGCACCACAGCTCAAAGGCATCAATTCTCTTTCTGTTATCCCTAGTCATTGTCCAGCTTTCTGACACATAGCAAGCAATTGAGAAGACTATGGCCTGGATAAAGGTGCTCATCCTAGTCTCCAGACTAACGTCATTGCTCTTATAGCACTTAAAAAATTTATTAGAGCCTTTTCATTTTTCATGACTGCATAGAATTCCAGTGTATGCATTTACTGTGTTTTATTTAACCAGCCTCCTGTTAGTAGATTTTTAAATACTTTTCGAATGGTCATTTTGCCCACTGTTAACGTATCTATAAGAAAATTCCTGCAAGAAAAGTTGCTAGGTCAAAGGGTATATGAATTTGAAAATTTGATAACCATTACCAGATTGCTTCCAACTGAAGTTCTATCACTTTATAGAACTACTAGTAATAGCGTGAATGTGCTTATTTCTCCATAATCCCATCAGTATAGGATATCATCCTTTTTGATCTTTAAATTATTTTTGTTTTATTTATTTATTCTATGTTGTTGTGTACCGTCAAGTTAGAACTGACCATAGCTGACCCTTCGGTGGGTTTTCAGAGACAGTTAATCACACAGGAGTTGATTGGCTACCTTTCTTCCATGGAGCAGCTGGTAGATCAGAACTGCTTACCTTTGCAATGTCAGTGCAGTTATATACCACTAAGCCACCAGAACTTTATGTCAGATAATAGAATTTTAAGTCACATTTATTGATCTTTTGCCATACTTAGACAGGCTTTTCTTTCCGATATTTTTTTAAACTTTCCATGTTTTCTTCTAGTATTTTTATGATTTCATTATTTATGTGTAGATCCTAGGTTCAGCTGGATTTTGCTTTGGTATTTCATCACTTTAAGCACTGATTTAAAAAAATTAAAGATAATTGTTTTCATATTTTGGATTTTGGATTTTATAGATCTAGTTGTGCTGATATCATATCCATGTATAATTTGCGATTTATTGTTAATGTTGTTTTGTTGTTGTTATGTGCCATCGAGTCATTTGCGACTCATAGCAACCCTATGTACAACAGCCCTAAACCGTGCTCTATCCTTTGCCAATCTCATTGCCTCTGACAAACCCATCCCGAGTACCCCAGTCACTGAATCAGTCCACCTCATAGAGGGTCTTCCCCTCCTGCGCTGTCCGTCCACTCTACCCAGCATGATATCCCTCTCCAAAGACCTGTCTCTCCTTACAACATGTCCAAAGTATGTCAGACGAAGCCCCAGAATTCTTGCCTCCAAGGAGCAGCGTGGTTTAATCCTCTCTAC